TTAGGGTTCCTATTGCTATGATAAAACACCATGACCAAAAGCAACCTGGGGAGGAAAGGGTTTATTTCATCTTACAACTCTCAGGTCACACTCCATCACTGAGGAAAGTCAGGGCAGGAAGTCGGAGGCAGGAACAAAGCAGAGGCCATGAAAGAGTGCTGCTTACTTGATTGTTCCCCATACCTTGCTCATTCTGTCTTTTTTTTTTTTTTATACAACCCAGGACCAATTGTCCACAGGTGGCACTGCCTACAGTGGGCTAGGCCTTCCTATGTCAATAATCAATCAAGAAAATGCCCTATAGGCTTGCCCACAGCCCAATCTGATGGAAGCATTGTATCAGTTGAGGTTCCTCTTCCGAGATGACTCTAACTTGTGTCAAGTTGGCAAAAGAAATGGCCAGGACCCTCTCCCCTTACTTTCTGGGTCATGGTCTTGCTATGTGATTTCTACTTCTGATATACCCTCCCACCACCATGTTTCTGTGGCCATGTTATGATGCAACCAAGAGGGCTCTCACTGCAGGGGAACAGATGGGGCTGCTGGACTTTGGATTTTCATCCCCAAAACTGTGAGCTAAATAAAGCTCTTTGCTTTTGAAAGTACCCAGCCTAAGGTATTTTTTCTTAGAAATAAAAAGATGTGGTAAGACAGTTCTCAAAGGTTTTATATTGTTCCAAGTTCCACAAGATGTGGATGAAAGGCTTCTCAAAACTTTTATTACACAGCTAGCTACACAAGAGATATCTCCAGGAATAGGGTGCAATAGAATTCCCCAGTTCTTTTGTCATGACATTAGGTCTCTAAAGAAACTTCTCCACAAATTGGAATCTTGCACCGTCTTATGGTCACTTCTAGGTCATACTGGGGAGCCATACACAAGAAGAGATGTCACAGGGACAGAGTCCATCGGGACACAACTTGAGAGTATCCAGACAGTGTTGAAACCTGGGAGCTTCCTGTGCTTGTTAGTTTTTGCTGATTGACTCATTTTCTAGGTGACTATCAGTAAGACTTTAGGAGAAGAATCACACACATATGGACCCTAGAGAATGGGTGAGCCAGGAACCTGAGAACAAGGACCAAGGCATCCATGTGACTGCAGCTTGGGCAGAAGCTTTGGGGAGGAAGCCAGATGAAAGGAGGCATCTCCGGGGCCTGCTGAAGGCGAGAGATCAAGCCTGGCAACAGGCCACCCCCAGGATGCCACTCAAAGAGCTGACATCATCCAATTTCCTGAGCAGGTCTCTTGTTGCATCTACGGAAGTTATATTATCGTATCCACCTGCTGAGTTCAAAATCCCTACTTCATAGGGTTTTTAAAGGCCTTTTGAATGCCAAGTGCTTTGTGAACATTACAGAGGGATGGAGGCATTACGTTAAATAAGCCAAGAACAGAGAATTCCCAAGGTAAACCATAAAGCTGTCAGCCTCAAGCTAACTCATCTGGTTGGCTTACAAGATAGTTTCTACAAAGGATTCTCCTCTGAGTGTGGGGCCTGGGAGGGAACTGGAGGTGGAGAGCAGGCAAAGTAGGAGGGACATGGACTCTGTTAATAGATTCCATTGCAGGCTCAGTCTTTATAACAATTATGCAAGGCCTCTGTTTCCTAACAGGAGAGTTGTCAGAAATGGAGAGTACCCCCCATGTGGTTGGAGAGCTAGTTTTCATATTAATTACCAGGGCAACCATCATTAAATTCTTGAGCCCTCTGTTTGCTCAGAGATCTGTGCCCAGAGATCTCTGAGAACGTGTCTCTAGATGCATGAAAGGGACCAAAGGCTGAGAGGGTTCACCCTGGCCCTGCTTGATGTGTATGCTAGGGTCATTGAAGAGCTCCCTGGAATAAAAGACCACATACAAAGCTGACACTCATGGGACTATGAGGTCAGAGCCAGGACTCACCCCATAGGATGCTATAATGAGTATTGTAAGGGCAATTTTAGAGTGCAGTCTGGGGATTATAAGGGCAATTTTAGAGTGCAGTCTGGGGCATAGTCCACGCAGGCTCACATAGTGCCACGCTGATGCTGTAGGAGCCCCTACTTCTCTACTGCTCCCCCCGCACTATTACCAGACCACAAAGACCCTCCAAGGAGACCTGTGTTTTCTTTGTCACTGTGTCCTTACAGCCAGGCCCCGTGCCTGATGCAGAAGCACCATCAGAGGAACAGACAGCAGCACCCTTGGACTCTTGATCCAGCATCCTTGAAGACTCAGGCAAGCACCCTGCCTTGTTAGAGTCTTGTTTATCCATCTTTACATGGGAAGTCTGGCCCGGGCTGAGAGGCAGTGGAACCCTGAGAGGCAGGCAGGTGGGCAGGGTGATCCTGCCTCAGCAGTAGCTCTGGATGTGGTCCTCCTGAAGCAGAACAGTTGCGCTGTTTCACTTGCCTTATAAATTGGGTCCTGCCTTAAGTGTCAGTATGAAGAAGGAAAGAGGAGCTGAAAAAACTCAAAAATACCCTCACACGCTCAGGCCTTTACCATCTGGTGTGTAGGTTACACTTACAGCAGATCCAGTTAGTCACCCTGGTTCTTTATAGCACAAACCTCAAGCAGCCACTAAACATAAAACAGTGAATTTACAAGCTGTGGCAGGAAATAAAACTCTGCAGGTTGCACAGTAAAAATTAGTGGGTCAAGGCTAAGGCTATCCATCAGGAAGGCCACAGAAACCGAAAGCTCCAGGCAGCGTGGCTGCAGTGACACTGAATGCTGGTTTGCCCTGTCATGGAGGGACGGGCCATCCTGGCAGTGGGTCCTCCAGTGTCTGCTATGGGGCACACTTTGTAGGAGGCACAAGGTGACACCATCTTGATTTATGATAGTATCTCCATAAGTTCAGGAAGGGCTGAACCACAGTTTCAAATTAAAAGTTTTCCATTTATGCCACCTTATTTCAGCCAGGGAATATCTTGAAGATAAATCTACATGTCATCTTCTCACTCTTTGACATGTGAGCCTCTCTTTTGGAAGACACATCAGCTGTAGGATTCTATGCCACGGTTCTTCATGACAAAATCCTGCATCTCAGACTACATACTGTTTGTCTTCTTTCCTGAATCTCCCTCTTTGGCTTTAGGGACCCAAGAGCATCTACAGCATCCCTTGTACCTCCCAAGAGAGCTGCCTTCCCTGTGCCCTCTCTCTGGAAGAAGCTGAAACAGCCATGTTGGTATCATCTGATACTTCTCCACTCCCAACTGAGCCCAGGGTTCAGGCCTGGATGGTCAAAGGCCTACTGTGTGGCATAGGATGGAGGAGGAGAAAGAGGAGATGGGGGGTTGGTCGGCCTGCAGGGACCGGCACCTGGGTCAGCCCAGCCACTTGACCCTGCTCCTTCCGCTCTGTCACACCCATGCTTAACAGTCTTCTCAGCCAAAACTTGGCAACATTAAATAGAAACCCCCTTTCCTCCCTGTGCCCAGCTCCTGTCAGTTTATGACTGCTCTCAAGGCCTTGCCTGGGTTTGTCTATTGTCTTTGTGTGACTGGAATCCTGTGTCTTCTACTGTTCATTTTTCTGTCCTGTTTTCTCTTCTCAGGGCTTTTACAGTTTAGTATCTATGTTATCCCAACAGTTTGGCCCATTCCTCTGCCTCAGTTCTCCTTCCTCAGACTATATTCAAACACCTGTGAAAACCATTCTCCCGTGGCCTGTAAGCCTCCAGTTGCCCCTAGGGTTTGATGTTGTCAAGACCTGGTGTCCTCCACACCTTCCCAGCTTCTAATCCCACTTCAAGTCTTCCTCTTGAATGTTCTGACCACCTTGCCCTGGGAATTTCAGTCCTAGGTTAGTTCTCATTTTCCTGCAGCCTGGATTGTCCCTTCCCATCATGCCCTCCAGGTCTTAGCAAGCCCTCAGTGCACAGTTCCTCTAAGCATGCTCTAGGCCCTTTGGTTCCCCCCTTCCCATACCTCACACAACCTGGGGAGGGTAAGTCTGTAGTCACTGTTCCCCCTCACTACCAGAAGAGGGGAGAGCAGTCACATTTGACATCTCGTCTCAGTGCTCAGCCCCAGCCTGTCTCAGAGGAAGAAGACAGTAGCTGTAGGTGGTTGTCAGCGAGGGACACAGGTCCCTAGAAGCACAGTGCTCAAGTGAGTCCCACCTCAGGATGCCGCCAGCTGGGGAAGAAAGTCAACCAGCACTTAGCTGGGTGTGGAAGGGGGAACAAGATGATGAATGTTTGGGGACAAGTTCAAGGTCATAAAATGAGAGGAGGATTGTGACAACAGCCACTTCCCCACTGTACAGAGACCTCTGTAGCATCTAAGCAACAACCGCTTTTAGGCATGAATTTCCAGTCCCTGGGTGACTTAGTGACTAGTCCCTGGAGAAAAAAGGAGGAAGCAGGAATAGGGGAAGTTCTCAGAGCAATCAGAGTCCAAATGCCTGGCCACCTCATCCTTGCCAGGAGCCCCCCAAATAAGGTGCCCAGTACCACCTGCCATTCTGCATGAGTCTCCTAGGCAGGACGGATATGATGGTTAATCATGACTGTCACCTTGGCAGGATCTAGAATCATCTACAGAAACCGCTGGGTATGTCTGTGGGGGACTTTCAGGCTGGATTGGCCACCATTTTTACCGTCTTGGATGGTAAAAAAAAAAAAGGGGGGGGTTGGGAAAGTGATCTGAGCACCAGCGTTCATCTCACCCTGCTTCCCGACTGTGACACAATGTGATATCTGCCTCACACTCCTGCTGTCATGCCTTCCGCTATGATGGACCATACCATACCTTCAAACCTTAAGCCTGCAACAGCCCTTCCTTCCTTAAGTTGCTTTCATCTGGTATTTTGCCACAGAAATGAGATAAGTAACTAATACAACAGCTGTGCTGGTTTGAATACGAATGGCCTCTACAGGCTCATATAATTGAATGCTTAGTCACCAGGGAGTGGGACTGTGGGAAAGAATTGCAAGGATTAGGAGATGTGGCCTTGTTGGGAGGAAGTGTGTCAAACAAAGGTGTGGCTTTGTTGGAGGAAGTGTGTCACTGAGGGGTGGACCTTGAGGTTTCTGTGGATCCCTGTGTAGCTCTCAGTTACTATCCCAGTGCCATGCTTGCCACCATGCTCCCTGCCATGATGATAAAGGACTAATCCTCTGAAAATGTAAGTAAGCCCCCAATTAAATGCCTTCTTGTATAAAAGTTGCCATGGTCATGGTGTCTCTTCACAGCAACAGAACAGTGTCAAAGACAAGTGCCTACAGAGTTTAACAGATTCATTGTGAGATAAAACCATGGGGCTTTTGAAAGGCAGGAAAGAGGGCTGGAGAGATGGCTCAGCAGTTAGGAGCTCTTGCTGCTCTTGCAGAGGACCTGAGTTCTGTTTCAAGTGACTGTCATTGGGTGTCTCACAGCTACCTGTAACTCCAGCTCTGGGGGATCCAATGTCCACTTTTGGCCTTTGTGGGCACCTGCACACATGTGCACACACACATTCTACACCA